TCAGTTTATTAATTCATCTGATTGCTCATTCATTAAACAAACTTCAGAAGCACTATGTACCGGTCACTGAATTGTCAACTTCCCTCCTATGGTTTGACACTAGCAAATTATAGTTTTGGAGCTCTCACATTCTCCACCCTTCTGTTTTATTTGAAACCGCCCTGACTTGAGTGTTGAGTTCTTCTTAGGGCTCAAGGCAAGGAGAAAAGAATACCCTTTAAAATGTTAATTAGTTCTAGATGCCAGCTCACTTTATTCATCAAAACTGAACTGGAAAAAATGTGCCCTGGACACAAGAAGTTTATATTTCTCAGGAGAATAAGGCAACTAAGAAATATAACTTGTAAGTTAAAATAATTGTAACCACTTCGTATTTCTGAAAACCTTACCTTCTACAGTTACTAAGAGGTCTCTATGCTCTCCTTTCCCTCTTGACTTTACTATAGTTATTATCATTTTTAGGGCTTTTTTTTTTTCTCCTACTGCTCTCTAGTGATTGAAAAATAGTTTGTCTATTACTCTTCAGGCTCCATTAGAGTATCTCATTTGCCTCTCACAAAACTCCGGATATCAATTGCCTAACTCATGGTGAGAAACATCTCTCTGCCAGTCAAGGAATGCCTGTGACCCTCTCCAGGGCAAATCCTTCCTGTGGTACGCAGATAGTTGCAGCATGTAAGGAGACAGAGGAACTCAAAGAACATTTTATCCCATTCACAGTGAATGAAGAAGCCTGGTGACATCTACTTTTACTGACCCCATTATTCGTGTTCCCACAACTTGGTGCCCGGAAACAGCAGAGACACTAGAATTCTAATTTTCAAATTTTCAGTATTTTCTGGCAAAAATGCAACCTTTCTCCTGATTTCAGCCATTCTGTCAATAGAAATGTTAATGAAATTGGGGTTCCTGGGTGGCTCAGTCAGTTCAGAGATCTGCCTTCTGCTAGGGTCACGGTCCCAGCATCCTGGGTTCTAGCCCCAAATAGGGCTCCCTCCTCAGTGGGGGGTTTATTCCTCCCTCTCCCTCTGCCTCTCCCCACCTTGTGCTCTCTCACTTGTCTTCTCTCTCAAATAAGTAAATTTAAAAAAAAAAATTTTTTTTTAAAGAATGTTACTGAAATTGATTTAACTTCAGGAAAACTTTTTCATGGTGGCCTGGAATTCATCTTCGACTCTGTCTGATATTTATTCATTAATAGTCAAATTCTCAGTGTTCCAGGAACTTCTTGCAATTGCTACCCACAGATCACAGCGTTCCAATTCCTGCGGCCACAGATCTTAGAGACAAGGAGGATAGGAATGCCAGTGAGAATACAGGCGGGTAGGGGAGAGAATTGTGCCACAATCACAAAGATCTGTTTGAAATTTTGGTGCCTGTCACCCTCTTTCTACTTTGTCCATTAATTCCAGCTCTAGAAAATTCTGCCCTTATATATTTGCCAGCACTTATGCTCCTGAGTGCCCTTCATCTCTATTAAGAGAAGCCATTAAGCCCTGAGATGTTCCCAAGGCAAACCCCTCCTTGCTACTGCATTTATTGTGCACTGCATGAGAAAGGAAGTCTGTGAGGCAATGGGCCTGTGTTGATGAAAACTGCTATCAGGAGGCCCTGACACATGATTTTTTCTTATTATTGATGCTGTGAGGAAAATTCTTCCTGGGAAGCCGCTGCTTTTCAGAGGCAGCTGTCCATTAAAAGGACCCTTCTGACCTCATTGGAAGTCTCCAGTTGATTCCGATTGTATTATCTGGACAGCATGAGCCGGAAAAGGGGAGTTTCCGGGAGGAAGAAAAGGTTTGTGAAGGGGGAGTTTTGCTGAGTGAGGATCTCACGCTAATAATAATGATTGGAATCCAAAGGATTTGTTTTTTTGTTTGTTTTCTTTTTGTTTTTTGCTTGTTTGTTTTCCCATTTACTCTCTGCAGCAGGATCAGGAACTACAAACTTGCATGATGTTTTTAAATTTGCAACTTCTCTAGATTAATTTAATAAATATGAATTCATCTTTTCATCCAAAATAAAAATATATTGAGCATCTGCTTTGTGCATGCTGAATATACTTGCGAACAAAACAGAAACAGTCCCTGCCCTGGTGGAGCATACATTTTAGTGAGAGGAGACAGACAAATAATGAAGTGATTTGTATAGGGAGGGTTTGCAATTTGAACAGGGTGGGGAGGATAGGCCTCTTCACGAAGATAACACAGGAGCAAGAGCTGCAAGGGGAGGAAGGTGTGAATCATGTAGAAGCCATATCTGGAAGAACCAAATGGGTAGAGGGGAGAGCCAGCGCAAACCCCCAGAGACGTGTGTGTACCTGAAACATTCCAGAGACAGTGATAAGGACAGTGTATCTGAGAGGAGAGGGCAAGGGTGAGAATAACAGTTGAGCATTCCTAAGTGCCGGGCTCGATCTTAGGCCTTGGGAAAACAGAAAACTCTATGGCAAGTCCCTCTTGAGTCCCTCAGGAGGGACCATTTTACATGGGAGACAGACAAGTGAATGGATAATAGCAACCAAATGCTGATATGATAATAGTAACATTTATCAAGAACTTATCACCTCATACATTATTCTCAACTGTGTTGCAAAGACCTTGAGAGATGAATCCCAATTTAAAGCCTAAAGATGATTTGTTAGGAATCTAAATGAGTACAGAGGTGTACCAGGTGACAGTGGTCAAGCCTACATGGGGCAGTGTGGGGAGATATTAGAGACTACAGGGGAACTTTCTAGGGGAATTCAACCCTCCAGTTACATTCTGAAAGATGAGAAGGTCAATGTTGACCTTCAAGGGGCAGAGGGAGGCCTAAAGCGTGGGGAAGCAGTGGGAAAAGAGCCCTGTAGGCGCAAGGGGCCCCAGCATTAGAATCTTAAAACTGAAGGCAGGTTTGGTTGTGCGGCTGGAGTGTGGGGTGAAGGGCATAAGGCAGGGGCTCACAGAAGCAGCTTGCAGGGATATGTGTCCCACTCAAGCTGCTCCAACTTCATGGTAAGGGCAATGAGGACCCAAGAAAAGCTCCCAATAGGGAGTAGATGGGAAATTCATTCTGTCCATATTCTGGCAGTTGTGGAAGTTGTGAAAATATCTCAGCTGTTACAGGGGACATGGAAAGTCCAGCCCCTTGCAAAATACCTCACACTCCAGGTATTCTTGCTTGTTTTCTCTGGACTGGTTTTCCTACCTGCAGGGGCTCCATGCAGGTATGGGGGACTGGAGAAGATCCGAAGATCCCCAGGGAGATGCAAGGGGAGAAGCTGGCTGGGGCCTGAAGCTAGGGAACCAAGAGGTGGTCAGTCTGGGAGTAGCCATATCTGGGTGTCATCCAGGAGTCCCTAGGGAGGCCCCAATGCCAGACCGACCAAGCCCTCTGACTCTTCCAAGAAAATGATGTTTCCTTTACATCAAATACTTGAAGGGAAGGACATTCTACTGACATGAGACTGATGGTCCAATGTTTCTGGTGGAAGACCTTGCAGGTTCCAGGTAGTCCTTCTGAGGTTTCCTGGGGCTGCAGACCCCGGCAGCTAGCTGCCTTCTGGTTGTCCGTGGGGTGCTGTCAGCATTTTAAGCTCTGTTCATGGTCCAGCTTGTCAGCTGTCCTCGCAGACCAGCTTCTCTTCCTTGGCTTTTAGTTCTGGTTGTCTGGTAGCATCATTTTCCACTCAGGCTAGAATTGGAGGTCACATCTGTCTTTCTGAATTCTTTTCTCTTGATCAGACTTCCCACCCAATTGATACTCAGTCCTGTCACTCTCTTACTGAAATTTTTTAGAAATATTTTTTAAAAAAAGAAAGACCACCTCAAATTCTACATCCTTTGTGCATCTTTCCCACACACCAATTGGGCCAGGGGCTCTCAGAAGAGGAAGGTATGTGCGTTGGAGGTATATCAGAGAAGCTTGTAGCATTACATGGGACTTTGAGAGCTAATGTCCCTGTTGGTCTTGGGTTTTACCTTTATTTGCCCTTCTCTTCAAGGATTTTAAAAAAATTTAGCACTTGTTTGTCTACACCGGTAGATTATGTGCTTCTTTAAAGTCTAGGTGTTCTACATCTATAACACATAGTAGTCACTTAACACTTTGTATTCTATCCAACCTATGATACATTCCAGGCACATTTCTTAAGGACCTTGCTGAGAAAAATAGGGCATAGTGGTTGTCATGCTTTTTTAGTTATCTCTCCCTACTCCTAATCATTAAGAGTTTGCTTACGAGGCTAGTAGGCTAAAACAGCAAAAATACCAATTTGTCTAAAATTGACTTCAGACAGAACCCTGAAATGAGAGGGTTGCATTTGGGTGTTCTCCAGACTCTTCCCCTACTCTTGTCCAAATGGTCTACATTTTGTTCCTTCCTTGACTCTACTGGCCTCCCACCTGGATTTTTCCTTTTCTTCCCTCGCTCTCATCCTGTCCCTCCCCGCTGTGTGCCTTTTGCACGGTGTTCTCCTAAGGACACTTCCAAACCCTTTTCAGCATTCACCGGGCAACCAGCGAGCAGGGGACACACTCTGGGCCCAGGTAACCAAGCTGAGCAGGGTCAGCCAAGGCACTGCAGGACCAGGAATTTCCCATTCCAATTTTAATCGACACATCAAGGGACATTTTGTCCGCAAAAGCAAAAACAAACTAAAAAGCACATTCATTTGTGTTCCAGGTAGTAGGTAAGAGGCCCCAGTCCTGCCTTTCTTAAGCCGAAAAAAGGACTCACTCCTAAAAGGAGATTGGGGCAAGATGGAGACTTCATTTCAAGCTGGCTGATTTCTCAAATTGCAACACATAAATTACCTAGTCCGGGCGAAGGACAAGCCTTGCAAACGGCAAGGCGGGAGATGCGTTCCATGTGGACGACTGAATCATCCCATCGTCATTCTCATTTTTTTTTTTTTTTCCCTTTGTAAAGGGAGCGCTGCTTTCTCTTTAGGTGAGGTTCGGAGAAACCTAGAAGGGCTGACACCGAGGCGAGAACGGAGCCGGCAAAGAGGAGGGACTATGGAGAGATCTGCGGGACTGGACCTCCGAGGCAGCGGAGACGGCGGCCGGTCGGCGGGACAGGCGGACACCCAGGCGGGCAGAGCGCCCGGCGGCAGGAGCCCAGCCCTCGGGAGACCCCGGCCTCCAGCGCCGGGAGAAGGAGCCTGGGTGGGACCGGGGGGCCGGGCCCTCCGGACGAGGGGGGTGATGGACAGGCGGCGTCCTCCAATGGCGTCCTCCCGAGGCCGCGGGGCGGGCCAATGAGCGGGCCGCGGGGGCGGGCGCGGGGCGGGGACTGCCGCGGGGGCCAGCGGCGGGGAGCGCGGCGTGGAGGTGCCAGCGGGCGCGGGCGCGGGCGCGGGCGCGGGCGGCGGCGGCGGCGGCGGCAGCGAGGCCGAGGTTCCTCCCGCAAGCCGAGCGGGGTGCAGTGGGGCCGGCGGCCCAGAGGCGCGGCGGCGGCGGCGGCGGCGGCGGCGGCAGCGGCGTTGGGAGGACGATGGCAGCACTCGCGGGAGCCGCGGCCGTGCTTGCAGCCGCAGCCCGCAGGCGCTGGCTGTGGCTGGTGCTGGCGGCGGTGCTCGGGCTGTGTGAGTGATGCGGGCGCCGCGGCCGGGCGGCGGGGCGGCGGGGCGGCGGGGCGGCGGGGGCCTCCCGGGGCCGGCGCCCTCCCCCTCGCGGCGGCCGCGGTCCGTGCGCGCCGGGCGCCGAGGCGGGGAGGGGGCGCGGCCTGCGCGCTCCGGGGCCTGGAGGGCGCGCGCGGTTGGGGAGCGCCTGGTTTTCCTTCTTCCCGGTCCCTGCGTGTGCGGGAGGAGGGGCGAGCTCCCCACCTTGTCCCTCCTGGGGGCGCTGCCGGGTGGCTGCCTGGAGCTCGCGCGGGGTCGCCCGCCTTCCCCGCCTGTGCCCCGGGGGTGCCCCGGCCCGCCTGGATTCCGGTTTGGGAATCCGGGGTTCCCGACCTTCCCCACCTCAGGGAGGCGGCGGAGGAAGGTCGCAGGGTTTGCTTTCGCAGGGCCTTTGTTGGCTTGTGTCCTCGGTCTAAACGCACGTTCTCTTTGAGCCTGTAAATTCCATTTCGAATGCTCTCCAGTGCATTTTGTAAGCCTCCGGGATCGGGGAGTGCTGCAGTCTCCTGGGTCTCGCCTCTAGCCGCCGAGCACCCATACCGACAGTACATCTGCATTACTTCTGGGATGCACTGGGAGTAGCACTGAAATGACCTGGCTTAAAAAGAATTTGGTCGAATCCCTAATGATTCCAGACAGAGTCACCACGGTTTGACAAGACACCAGACATTAAAAAGCTCATTTTTCCTTTTTTTTTTTTTTTAAACTGACCTTTTTTTCTTGCCAAATTTCGTGGGTCAACATAAGGTAAACCTCAGGCTCGATTTATTGCATTGGATGAGTTGTTTTATGGACGTCTGAAGTGGTGTTGGCCATAGGACATTGTGCTGTTCAAAGCCGAGGACTTGTTGCTGTTTCAGAGTGCGGTTAAGTAATGGCTATAAAGAAGGCCAACTCCTAAGAAACCACGTAGACTTTTTCCTTTCTTTTGTTTCCCAAAATGTCAGTTGCATCACAGTGGCTGAATACAAGTTTACTCAGTAATTTCTCTCATAGAAAAGTCCTTAGTGTAGTCTTTGGGACCAGGAAAACTATTATTTAACCGGTGATTCCAGAGGTGGTGAGGTGTAAAGGTAAAAGCCCTCACCTTCTAGAGGTTGACAGATGAAGATATACGGTGTTTACACAAGTCAGAGTCTATTCTGTATAAATGTCTGTTCTGAGGGAAAAAAAGTTAAAAGTTTCTTGTTGGTGATGGTGACAGTATTTGTGTTTTAAGTTAACCAGTAGGAAATAGCCTAAACATAAGGTTTATGAGAAATCTTGTGTGTGTCAGACAGAATAATTAGGAAAGTTCAGACATTGCTACTGACTCTAGGTCCTAGAAGCAGCAGAACTGAAATACTGAATATTAATGGATATTAATATGAAAAGACCGTCAGAATAATAACTACAAACACCTTGGATGGGCCCGGCTCTTCAGTAAGGAAAAATGAATGTTGACCGATGAAAATCAGCCACTCATGCTACTGCTTAGTTTTGGGAAACTATCAAATGCTCCCTCTTGCCAAATTGTCTTTTCCTGGTTGTGGATAGTGTCTATAGCAGTCCACTTTTATAGAAAACCTTCCTGAATTTGATCCAGATACAGTTATTCAGCAAACATTGATTAAGCACCTTGTAAGTATTATGCGCCAAACATACTTGGGAAGGATGGTCCCTGCCCTCCTGTAACTCACGGTTCATATAAAAAGTCATTTGATGGTGGTGTGCTGTGAGAACTTGAAGAAGGGCCATCATCTCAGACTGGAGTTGAGGGCCTGGAGGAAGGGATGCTTAAGCTGAGTAGGCACTGGGCAAGGAAACAGTAGAAGCAGAGTCCTGAATAGACCTGTTCTTACGTAGGTAGGTCAGTGTGGTGGGAGATAGGTTTGTGCGGTGGGAGGGAGATGGGGGGCAGTGGAGGTGGGGGAGCCAGCCAAAGGCATTAACTCACAAAGGACTTTGTAAGGCTGGTTTTTTATCCTGAGGACTTGGGGAAGCTGGTGAAGGATTTTTTTTGGAGATGTGAAGAATGGATTGGAGGGGTGGGAGACTGAAGAAACCGGAGAGGGCTATTGTCATAATCCAGAGGTGGAGGATGAGGGGCTGAGTTAAAGCAGTGGGATATGAAGAGAGGATGCCCGTGAGCTAGTTAGAAAGTACATTTGATAGGGCTTGGAAACGGATTTGCTGTGGCCTTGAAAGAGGAATGAAAGATGATCCTAAGTTTGGGGATTGGGTAATGGCCTATTTTTGGCAAGTGGGGCTTTTCACAGGTGAACGTGGGATTGAGGGAATAGTGTATGAGGAAGATGATGATGACGATGAAGTTACTTTTGGGTATGTTGAGTTTCAGATACTGCTGAGACATCCTAACAACAGAGGTGGGCAGAAGACAGTAGGATAGATGATTCTGGAGATGAGAAAGTTCTAGTTGGAACTGCAGATTTGGAAGGCATCATGTAGATAGTAGTTAAAGCTACCATTGCTTGGATGAGGTCACCAACAGAGACCTGTAGAGAGTGTATTGAAGGAAATAGGAGGGCCAAGGCAGAGCCCTGGGGTATATGGAACCTGAGAAGGAGGCCTGATGAGTAAAGGAAGAACGGAAGAATGCTGTGTCTTTGAAACCAAGAGATAATGAAGTTTTAAGCAAGAGGGAGTGGTGAAGAGTATCAGAAGACATTAAACATGATGAGGATTAGTTGGATTTGGCAATTGTCAGGTCTGTGGTCCCCCATAAGTAGGAATGAACACACAATATATGAAGAATAAATTTCAGTAATTTGCGCCGACCATTTTATTTTTTTAAGATTTTATTTATTTATTTCTTCATGAGAGACACAGAGAAAGAGAGGCAGAGACACAGGGAGAGGGAGAAGTAGGCTCCATACTGGGAACCTGATGCAGGACTTGATCCCAGGTCTCCAGGATCAGGCCCTGGGCCGAAGGCAGGCCCTAAACCGCTGAGCCACCCAGGGACCCCCTGCGCCGCCCATTTTAGTAAATGGCACCAACATGCATCTCGTTGCTCAACGCAGAAGCCTAGGATCCACCCTTGATTCCTCCCTGTCTTTCATTTAGCCCCACATCCAACATGTTCTTCCCTCTGCAAAATGCATTTGGAATTACCCACTAGTTTTCTCTTAGTGGTCCATTCTTAGCATTTTAGTCAGATTCACCCAGCTGGTCTACCTGTTCCTCTATCCTGCCTCTTTTTAAAAACTTTTTATTTTTTATTTTTTAAAGATTTTATTTATTCATGAGAGACACACAGAGAGAGAGAAGGAGAGGCAGAGACACAGGCAGAGGGAGAAGCAGGCTCCATGCAGGGAGCCCGAAGTGGGACTCAATCCTGATTGTCTCAATCCTGTGGTAGCCTTATTCACGCCCTGGGCTGAAGGCGGCGCTAAACCGCTGAGCCACCAGGTATTCCTTAAAAACTTTTAAAAAAAGATTTTATTTATTTGAGAGAGGGCACACATGAGTAGTGGAAGGGGGAGGGGCAGAGGGAGAACCAGGCTCCCCACTGATTGGGAGCCAGACTCTGGCCATTCCAGGACCCTGAAATCATGACCTGAGCTGAAATATTCTGGCTCTTTTTAATCCATTCTTCACCCAACTGCAAGAATGATTTTTATAAAACTGCAATCAGATCATCTTGCTTTCTTGCTTAAAAGCCTTAATGGCTTCCCCTTACACTCTGAATGGCATACTGGCTTCTTCCATGGCCTGCAATGCTGTGTGGTCTACTTCCTGTCTCTCTGACTTCAGCTTTATGCCACTTGCCCCCCTGCCCACTATTTTCAAGCCACATGCCATCTTTTGCTCTTTGACATTCATTCTCACCTCAAGTCCTTTGCACTTGCTGCTGGCTGCTGCCTTTTCCTGTTCTTTCCCCAGAACTGCCCAGAGTTGTCTCCTTTTCATTCATTAAGATCATAAATGTCACTTTTTTTCAGAGAGGCCTTTCTCCATCCAGCCTCTCCAGAGGAACTCCCTGTTATCATTCCTGGTCCTTTATTTCCCTGTTGAAATTTCTAACCTTTTTGGTTTTTCTTTTTTCTTCTCTCAGAATCTAGGATAGAGATAGTGTTTGTCTTGTTTGTAGAAATATTCCTAGTGCTTAGCACAGTGAACACTACAGATGCCAATGTTTGTTAAAGGGCAGTGAGGCATAGGTATGTCTTGATATCAGTTTGTTAGCAGTTTGTAATATGCAGTTAGGATTTAGCCTGACATATGGTAGGTACTCAATAAATGTTTCTTGGAAAAAGGAATATTTGTTACAGGTGTGATTTCATGTATTATCTGGTTATTTTCACTCTTTTAAGTACCAGTTCATATTTCTTTGGAAACGAATGAAATGAATTAACATTCTTCAACTACTTTAAACACCATAGTTTTAGAATTACTAGTTATTGTACTTTTAAATTAATCATGGTTGTTGTAGCCTTTAAGTATTTTATCAATAGGACTTTTGATGCTTGTTGACAAAATTCAGACTTGAGACACTACCTCTGCAGTCAAAGGCCACAAATTTCTTTTTTTTCTTTTAAAAGATTTTATTTATTTATTCATGAAAGACACAGAGAGAGAGGCAGAGACATAGGCAGAGGGAGAAGCAGGCTCCATGCAGGGAGCCCGATGTGGGACTCGATCCCGGGACTCCAGGATCACACCCTGAGCCGAAGGCAGACACTTAACCGCTGAGTCACCCAGGCGTCCCTTCTTTTCTTTTTTTAATTTTATTTATTTATTTGAGAGAGAGAGAGAAAGCCAGACTGAGAGCCGAAGGCAGATGCTTAACCAACTGAGACACCAGGTGCCCAAAAGGCCACAAATTTCAGTACTAGTTCCCTCAGCCTTTAACTTACTCACTAGGTGGGATAATATAGTATATGTGCTGCCGAAGCGAGCACACTAGGTGGGATAATAAAATTAAACTTAGTCCAGGGGCACCTGGGTGGCTCATTGGGTTA